GGGCTAGGTAGAGAAGTGGGCACGCGGGCGGAGCGAGCGCGCGGGGTTAAAAGGGGGCATCGTGGACATTTGGAGATAATAGGGAATCACACAACCAACGCATGCGTGAAAAGATTGGGACTGACCTTCATGTTTGGCTTCGATTTCGTAATCATTCCAATGTGATTTTGCACATATGGGTGTAACATGGGTGCGGAAATTATACGTGCTTCTATACTGGTAACTATAAAAGAATCAGATGGATTTTCCAAAGTGTGAAAACGGATGTTATTAAATAACGATCGCATTTCTAATAATTTACGCCAAACAAAAACTTAATTCCAGAAATTAATGTGCATGTTTTCCTTCAAGCAGTTTTCTCGCCATCCACCATGGTCGCATCACCGTGATTGATCGCTGTTCGTAATCCTTCATCCTTCACTTGTGTCACATTTATATACGATTTCTAAATTTAATCAAAATTTCCTGTTGATCTAAAGTCGAACGCGTGATCACGCAGTCGCACGACAGCGTTGCATGACGGCGATTTGTTGTCCTGCGTTTATTTGAACCCAAAATACTACCATGCGTCGTTACATGTCAACGTCGTTGCATAATTAATTTGAAAATTAGACCATTGTTTTGAAAATCGCTTTTAAAAAGCCTGTATATCCAATTTTCAGATTCGTATATTTACTTTCTTCTCGCATATATACATATTTTTTTTATACATATACGCCCGTATTCTAAAAACTCACTCACAATCACACTCAATGAGTGGAGATTCAGTCTGAGCTTCTCTTGAGTATCAATGCTGTTTTTGAATAGTTGTAGGGTTAGTGTCGTACCTTACTATGTGACTACCCAACCTTCAGCTATTCAAAAACAGCATTGACACTCAAGAGAAGCTCAGATTGAACCTCCACTCATTGAGTGTGAGTGTGTGTGAGCTTTTAGAATACGGGATTTAGTTACAAAAGCTCAGTAATATATTACTGTATAAAAATATATTAATTTTAAGCTGCATCTTAAACATGATTTCATGACTAATTTCTGTCATCTGTATTTTATAAGTGTTGAAAGTCATGAACAACGTTTTTTGCAAGTACAATTTGTTGGTGCGTGCCCAAACGTTAGAATGATCTGGAAAATAAATTAACTTTATAGACTAAAAATAAACTTTATAGACTAATAGCATACCAACCATGTTCGCTTTATGTA